CCTCCCTGTTCCCCTCCACTCTCTGCACCCTTTCAACCCATCCTATTTCCCCTCCCCAAGGTGAAGAGTCTCCTACTCTGCACTGCAACGGCCCCTCCAGCGTAAACCACATCTTTGAAGCTTGCTATTACGCGATTTGTGTCCTTTTTTCCGAGCGGCTTTTAAGCATAACGCCTGTTGCTGGTGCTGAGCAACCATGAATGAGTATTCAAATCGAACTTCGGAAAGAACAACTCCTACGCTCTCTGTTACCGCCATTCATTCAGGCTATGTGCCCTCTACCATCGTTTCTGCAAAAGTCCTTCTCCCTTTTCTCACTGTCTGAGACGAGCAGACGAAGTGAGAGCGATATCCTTCCTCGGTTAGACCACAACGAGAAGACATGGACTCACCTTATCGAATTAACACTCTACTTCCTTCCTCGCTTGTTCCTGCCGTACTAAAAAAATACCAATGAAACATTCTGCATACTTGGAGGTAATATGCCGAAGCTGAATGGATTTCATGCAATGCTCTGCGCTGGACAGCCAGCGAAGTTGATGTCCGCTTTCTCTCGTGTGGGTCTGGTGACAACTAGTCGATCCTAGATGGGTGGAAAATTTGGCTAGCCCTATTATTAATAGGATTCAATCCGTTGGTGTGACTAGTATTGACACTATTAAGCCATTACGCCGATACTAAGAGAGAATCAATTCTGTGCGAAAATCACTTTTTATTACAGCAAATTATTTGCAGCTCTTCGGCGTGGAAGCTTACTTGAAATCGTTAAATAATGTTGCTAAAGAGAGGAACATAGACGTGCGTACGAGGCATAATTTAATCGAAGTCGACACTAAGAATAAAATCGCCAAATTCGAGTTACTTGACGAGGATAGCGTTCCAAACGGAGAGTTCTCCGAGATACCGGTAGGTCTGTTTACTATTCGTTAGATTTTCAGAAGTCACGACTTATGTGGAAGATTCTCTTACAAAAATTCCTCTTACATTTATATGGCTAATGGGCCTCGTAGCTGTTTTCATTCTTCCTGACTTCCTAGCTCACGTTCACAGCGGACAATTCATGCCATCTCGTGTGGGAAAGGGCGTTGGTATGACGTGATAAAGTGAAGATGTAGAGAGGTTACAACTCTTGTATGTAGGTTGCGCCCTCGAAATTCGCAAGTTCGACTCTCTGCCCAGTGCGATTCACCTTTTAGACGGCCGCACAAGGTTTGAAAAAATCCTCCATACCTCTTTGCCACGATACGTATCGCCTGAACAGCGAAAGCAAAAGGAGTAAAGCATCAATTCGTTTTAGCACATTTTTAAGTTGTTTGTTCACTGGAAAGTTCTAATTATGGCCCTCCTTGGTACTCAAACTCCCTGGTGTAAAGTAAGCACCTCATAGTTCATATGGTGAGCACCACATCTTTCATCTTGCCATCGTGTGCGTTAAAGCGCGAGGGTTATCTCACGTGACACTATCTCATGCTTCTACGAACTTCTTTCTGGATTCGTTTTGTTAACATGACTTGTCGCTTTCTCGTAACATGGTCGATGTGTTTTTTGAGTGATGTGCTCGCTTTTTGTATTGAAGGCATTGAAGACATATTCCGAAATCACCTGATTTATAGAATCCATTCATTCTCCATCTAGTTCGGTCTGCAATCTCATGGTCAGCGGTTGCCCCACTTCCGCGGTTCCACAGAGGGTGACGAGGGAGCTGCATGACAAGACAAACCGTTCCATCGATGTGTTCTCACCTTTCTCAGGACGGAAGATGTCGGCTCTTTGTCGCTGTAAACACGTCTTGTAGTACAGTGCGCTTTATTTCTATGTA